TATATTTATATATATTATTATATATAGATTATATACTATATATATATATATATATATATATATATTATAGATTATTATATATATAATATATATATATATATATATATATATAATATATATATATATATGTATATATATATGTCTCAAGCATCTCTCAAGCTGGCTAGCACTGACTGCAGGACTGACGATAGCTTTGATGCTTGCTTATGCTTACCCTCAAAATTACATGCTCAGGCAGCAGCGTTTAGCAAATGAATTGTGAACGTCATAAGGAGGGGAGGTTATTTGAAAAGGGAGTTTAAATTGGGTAGATAATAATCTAATTATCAAAGGGAGATAAATTTCCATTAACAGGCAGCGCATCAGGTAGCCAGGTCAAAGAAAGTTGTGGATATCAGATAACGGCGAGTATGCCCCTCCCCGGGCCCCGGAGGCCGGAGCGTCCAAACCGACTTTCTGAAACCGCCAATCCAATCCAAATTTTCCAGTTCCTTTAAATCATTATTTGCTCAAAGGGCTTTACCCAAGGCTATATGCTTTACCGGAACGCAACAGCCAAGCCGGCAGGCTTTGGACTTAGTAGGTAGGTACTCATCCATGCTCTAACTTCGTACGGATAATTTCTCCGCCTAAACGCCGACCCACAGCCGCAAGCGGCTGGCGTGATGCTGCGTTTCAGCACGGTCATAGATACTACGTTTCAGTTGCCTGGAACTTCGTTGAATCCAGATGGCGCCATCCCCTGGGCGGCATTTCTCAGTTGGAGCAAGGACAGTTCGCTGTCCGCTACTGTGCTGCCACCTGTGAGTCGGGATCGGTGCTTGCCAGCGCCACCTAGCCAAAAAATAGAGCCGCCTGACACCTTACCGAACCGAAGAGCTGCCTGACAGTGCTGTCACCTTCCGGTGATTACCTGCCCAGGGCAGCACGCCGCACGAAGGTGCCAATGGTCCTAGCATGGCCTTGGTCCTAGCATAGCCAATCACCGTTTGTTTTCTGACTGGAAAGGTCTGAGGGGTTTCCTACTTAGCCTTTTCAAGAAAGAAGAGACACATGAACCAAAAATTATCAAAAATATTCAGTTCTGTCTGAAATGAATCATACCTCGGCCTCGGGGCTCGGAACTGAATATGAACAATGCATTGCAAACCAAAGAAGCGTAACAATGCCTAACAACCCTGAGGACAAAAAAAAACCTCCAGGACAGGTAGGTGGCCGGGTGTTGGGTAATTTGTAGTGTGTCACCTTCTTGTTCTTTCACAGTACTTAAAAGTTGACAAGTGAATTGATTGTGAATCCATGACCTGTCTGGCGTTCGTAAACGTCTATGTAATAATAATAATGACGCCTGCTTTATGACTTCCGATATGTCTAGGCATAAAGCGAGCAGTTCTTGTGCAATTAACTGGGATTCATAAAGTGGTCGGCGGTCGCATTTGGCTGGGAGGCATACAACGGACCCTGACAAACGATCACCGACATTACCTTTTGAATTAACTCATATCTCGGGACCTAAATCCTATAGTCATTGAGATTTTCAGTGACAATATCGAAAAGGGATGTAGGTATCTAAATGCGTCGAGCCATCTATCCTGGCATGAATGGCAAATCTCGCAATGAATTAAAGTGTAAGGGGTAAGCCGTAAGGGCATGGCACTTTGCTTCCACCTTCCCCACTTGCGGACCACTCATTTTTTTTCTGCTGGGACCATGTCCAGCGCCCACCGGCAGGTAGTCTGCGGACACGTCGTTTGGGTGATGTTTACCTACCTGGCCAGATTTCACCGGATTTCACCGGATTTTACCGGCGCCCTCCGCGCAGTATGTACCGATCCGAAAGGGGATACCGATGGGGATGTGGGAAAAGGTCGCCATCCCTCAGTGATTATGGTAGCCATTGATTACGCCGGTTCCCGCACATTCCCCTGCCCCTTTGCTAAGGAAAATACGCCTGTTTGTCGGTGTCTGCGGTGCCGGACGGCTGCACCCACCCGACCGCGCCAGCTCCTCAGACGCGGTCCTGTTTTCACAAATTGTTTCTCGACTCCCCACGCTTCCGGTGATCTATATCCTCATGGAAATGGCATTGGACAGGGTCGGTTCAGCGGCTAGTCTGCTGGAAGCCCGTTTTCCCCGCATGCGAGGGGTGCGTTGTTATGCTCGAAATCTCGCCACAATGATCCGGTCTAAACCAGTGAGAACCAGTAATGCGGTCGATCCCGAACCCTGATGCTTTTGGTCGGTCGTCTTTACCTCCAAAGAACAAGTGACAAGTGAACAAGTGAACGGCAGCAGTTCCTAACACCTACATTATCATTCGTAGCAATTCGCAGTTCACACCCTGGCGAAGAGAAGCATCGCTGTCATAAAATATGTTAGGTATATTATCTTCTAGGGTACATGTGCGGTGGACGTGTATCAGGTAAAACCCTGGATAAGTACAAGTGAAGTTCTGCACGATTGATATCAGCGAATCACATACATAGGTAAGTCGAAAGTAAAATAATTATAAGGTAATTATACAAACACACCTACATGTACATGGAATAAAAAGCGCTCACACTCGTGGCATATAGTGCAGAAAAGCACACAATGAAGAAGGCCATGAAACGTATTGCCGCGTAACACAATAGGCACTTGAATCATTCTCCGAGAACTGTATAACAGTTGTTTGATTCCTTTGAAAATGTAGGTACATACATCCAAATCAATTAAAGGAAGAGCGGCGTATGCCCACACGTGACACGGACATGCATTCCCCTTGAATCACAGCTACTTTCCGAAAATGCCGTTCCAAAACCCGTACACAACCAATGGGAACACAAGTAAACCAAACAATACGTTTCCTGCTAGAGGACAAATTACAACGCAGCGACACTTTATTATCACAATGCCGCGTTTTCGTCTCTCTGACGGACAGGCACGGTTCCTTCCTCTATTCTGGCTACCTCATGTAGGCGGCAGGCGCGCCTACTGTCCGTCTGTTCGTCTGTCTGTAGGACCGGAAGGGGATCCGATTACCGCCAGCTGGCCGGTCGGACTGTCTGTCACCGAGCGGGCCCGGCCGCGTCCCGCTCCGGTGACGCTGTCGCTTCCGTCTCGAGCTCCGCTATCACGTCGGCGCAGTAATGCTCCAGCTCGTGGATCAACTCCGGTTTCAGCTCCTTTCGCCAATGGTACGGGTCGAAGTCGGGTCCGCGGTACGTGCTGAAATACTGCTGCTTCTGTTCGCGGTCGTGGCTCCTCCGCAGCTGCAGCAGCTGCTGTTTCCGCTGCCGCAGCTGTTTCTGCAGCTGCTGCTCCTTCGGCCGTGCCGGCTGCTGTTTCGGCGGTCGTTTGGCCGGGACGGCCCGCTTCCCGCGGCTCAGGACGGTGTGTCGGGAGGCCAGCTCAGCGCGCCGGTCGGCCGGCGGCTGCGGGCCGCGCCAGCCGGCCTTCCCCGAGCTGCGGGAGCGCACCACCAACGGCCGAGGCGGCGGCGGCGGACCGCTGCTGTTCATGTGCCGCTGAAAGTAGGCGTGCAGCATGGGCGGCTGCGGCAGCTGCATGCCGCGGTACAGCTGCACGGCCACCTGTTCGGGCCGCAGCGCCAGCTGCTCGTAGTGGACGCGCTGGTAGCGCGCGTCGTGCAGCGGCCGCGCCGCCGCCAGGTCCGCGCGCACGCCGTCGCAGTAGGTGGTCAGCTTCTCGCCGAGCCGGTTCCAGACGGTGGTGGCGTGCAGCTGCGAGTTGAGCGTGCCGCGCGGGTCGCGCACCAGGTGCACCAGCCGCAGGTGCGGCCCCAGCTCGGCGTCCTGCAGCAGCGGCAGCAGCTGCCGCAGCCGCGGCCGCACCAGCTTCACCACGCGCGTGCTGGCGGCGGCGCAGCGCCGGCCGAGGGTGTCGGCACTGGGCGTGGCGCCGCGCAGCTTCACTGGCGGCCGCCAGATGAAGCGGCGGTACTTGGCCTCGCGCAGCACGGCCGTCCGATTCAGCTGGCAGGTCAGCAGCTGGCGCAGCGTCTGCTGCACCTCCTCCGCCGGCAGCCGGGACACCGAGATGTTGTTCTTCACGTGGTAGTAGAACGGCTCGAAGAAATAGGCCGTGTTGGGCGAGGTGCTGAGGATCTCACCTGCGGAAGGGGAAGGTTATCGGTCAATGGTTGCACCATGACAGACGTGTGACGGATGATAGACACTGGTAGGCTGCTGACGCTATTGACGTGTTATGTATATCTTAACCCGCGCCCCACTGGGGGGGGGGGGCTATTCATAGCCCCCCTCCCGTTTTTCTGCAATAACTTCCAAACCGCTGGACGTATCAACGCCAAACTTTCAGTACCTTCGGCTGCATCAATTTGACACCTTGTGTTAAAATTTGAACTTCGTAGCTACCATAGGTTGGCCGGAAATGACGTCAGAGTGACGTCATGTTCGGCCGATTTCGACGCAAAACATTGAACCACGGCAATCGCTCCCAAGAGCTCAGTTTTTAAGCTAGATCCAATTTCTTTGCATGAGAGGACTCAGAATAGACTGCGCTATCAAACTGCGATCTCGGATTTTCGAAATTTTGAAAATTTCGAAAATTTTACATAATAAAATTCAAAATTTATGTTTTTACATTTTTTTCAAAAAGTTTTTGAGTTTTCGAAAAAAATCGGAATATATGTGATAGAACGCATTATTATGACTAACCCTAGCAAGTTTTAGCTAAATATCTTCAAAAATGGCCAAGTTATACGCATTATTGCAAAAAATTCACAATTATTAATTTTTCAAATCACATTTTCAGCACGTAGTTATTTGACATCGTAAGCCAATATTAATAGCACCATCGTGTTCCTGAGCTCAAACTGCATCCAATAGACACATTTTTTGTTGAAAAATTATAACTTCAAAATTTGACCTTTTTTGACCTGAAAGTGACCTGACCTAAGCTAAATTCGACTCAAAATGACCTCAAATGACACAGACGACATCAAATTCGAAATGTTTGGCCTCAATGGACCATAAAACATGTGTCACGTGACGGACGCATGATATAATATTTTCGTGACCTGTGATGACCTGACCTTGACCTGAAAATCAAAGTACAAGTTTGGTGCCTTCAGGGTATTTAGAGCATCTGTTCACGAGTGTGTGAACCAAAAATGAGCCTGATTTGACTTGTAAGACGGCGGCCAGAGCTCAAAACGTGAACAAGCCAAAATGCTAATAATTTTTACTTTGACCTGAGCTGTGACGTCATCGGTGACCTCGAGGTGAATGAAATTAGGTTTCGTTCGACAGTTTTTCCGGGGCTATCTGACGCCGTTTGAATTTTGACGATCGGCCGAGTAGTTTTGGAGTTAGGAGGGGGGCTATGAAGAGCCCCCCCCCCCAGTAGGGCGTGTTATACGCAGACCCCAGTGGGGCGCTGGTTAATCATGAACTTGTAACAAGCATGCATGACAGATGCCTACACAAATACATGGGTGATGGGATTAACTATTGGGAACAAATTAATCAAATGAATAGATTAGCATGGGATCAAGAACAAAACAATTGTAACAACCATAGGCTAAGTGTGCTATGAACCATCAATCGCGGTCTAAAACGCCATACAATGGAGACCGTATGTACAAATACAAATGAGCGAATTCTACCCGCGGCATATGTTCAGAATACCGGATCGATTATTTTACACCACACCCCACCGTGCCGGTTGTTTACTCTGGCTTCTATGATGAAAATGGCATGACTGCGGAATGGTCTCCAAGTCGGTAGCTAGTCAAAGGTTGACGTCCCACAGCATCATGGATACTGTAACATCATCCATATGGAATTGTATGGTGCTGTCGCCTCGTGACTGGTTATTCAAAAGGTGACAAAGCGCCTCATGTACGAAGCCGGAGGTCAGCATTGCATTGGATTATGGGAACGGGATGAGATTTTTTACCAATGTCTGTAACCGAGGGTTTGTATTCAACAGTAAAACACTATTTGCTAGAAATTAGAATTGTGTTTTTCTATTGAAAAACAAATAGAGTTCCTGACAATTTGCCAAATCCATGCCTGGTAAGATCAGTACATCTTGACAGGGGCATCTAGCACATCTAGCACTACAGCCCATTTTTTCAGGATTTCTAGTGGTCCTGGTTCCCATGGGTTCTGCAGTACAGTAGAATCCGCTTAATAATTCCTCGGACAATAAATCTAGCCGCTTATTGTGGCCACTTGAATTCAGGGATTTTCTCCATAGATGCCTATAGTTTAAAAATCTGCTTAATAACTTCAGGTACGGGGAACCGCAGTTGCTACTGTACAGCGACCCTGAGTACCTATATTGTCCCAGCACCCTCACAGGGAACAACGATAAGCTGTCAGAGGGCACGCACAGAAAACCTCAGCTGCTCTTGTACAGGGACGGGCAGTCGATATCAATGTTATCACTTGTTACTGGACAGGACAGACGGTTAGACTTGGGGTTCGTGTACAGTAGCAACTGCGGGTCCCCGTACCTACTCCCATTAGCCAGTTGAGAGTCGCGAAGTCCGCAGTGACGTCTTCCCCATCGAAATGTTCTGTTCGTCGTAGGGGAAAGTGGGGTAAGACGGTCAGGGTAGGTAAGACGGGCACCCCTTCTGCAGACCAAACCAATAGCGCTACGAGCAAGAAAAGTTAGGACCAGAATTGCCTTTCCCACTACACACCACCATTCAAGTCTGGTGAATTTGTGTTCAGTCGATAATCTTTTATTTTGATTTCTTTAAAACACTCATTTCATTGAAAACATCCATAATGTATTGTGCAAGCTTTTGTGTACAGCACTATAGAGTTAAAAACTCGCAATCACTTGTGGTACACTCATATGCCAACAGTGTTCATTTACGGCGGATTTGCTTTGTCTGCATCAAATTGTCCACAGCGAAAAATCGTGCTGAACTTCTGACATTGAGTTTGGGGTAAGACGGGCAACTATGAACCCAATGGGTCTGTAATGGTGAAAATATTTTTGTTGCTGTAGGAAAAAAGAAGCATTTCTAATAAGAATATGTTCGATTCCGATACTCACAGACATGTTAGCAATATTCCTTCGGCACAGTTTATTCTCGAATAATGAATGTGAAAAACGGTTCTACATGGCTTCTGAACTAGGGCCTATATAGGAGCATACGCCTTCTGCACGAATCTCGTATACTGCCATTTCCGAAGCACTTGAGACCAACGAGCGACTGTATAAATGCGGCTAATCTCGGGCATTTGTTGCGAGCTGCGCTGATCGGTGAAAGAAGCTGGCCGTCTTGCCCTACCCATGTGACCGTCTTACCCCATGGGGTGGGGTAAGACGGGTTTTTGCAAGGTTTTGCAAAAATAGCTGCAGTTTATTTGTTGAATCAGGTCTAAGTCTCATCTTCTGGCAAATGAAAGTAAAATGTCTGAAAAAGGTTTTCACCCAGTTTCCCGTTTCTATGATGTTTCTAACCGGCCGAAAAATGGCTCCAAAGTTAAGGTGCCCGTCTTACCCCACTTTCCCCTAATGTTTTTAGACTCGTTTTGACCAGTTCATCTGAGACTTTAAAACATCTCAGGTGAACTGGTACCAGACTTAAAAACATCTGGCAGCTATTTTTCATACTGTTAAATAACGGGCAGCAAGCTTATTTTTTTTCGCAAAGCTATACATTGATGCGGGTGCTGTTCGGAAGTAATTAAACAGTCGCACTCGCTATATATGGCCTTGGTCGCTGTATCGGCGTCTTTGAGTCCTTAACCCTATTCCTGGCGGGGGGGGCCTTTAAGGCCCTCCCCCCTTCAGGTTTTTCTTGTGCCATTGCCAAACGCCGCAAGACTGAAAGCTCATACTCGGTGACTTTTTCTCAACATTCATTGCGCACATTTTGACAAAAAAAAAGTTGCCGGGTCAGGTCAGGTCAGGTCACCAGAGGCGGTTTGGTGACCCCACCTCAGAAAAGTTTGCAATGACGTCAGAGCTAGAATTTTTGACCGATCAATTTCTTCTCTTCAGGTTTTAGTTAGGGTACCAGTATGTGCAATTTGTATATCTCAGAATTTTCATATCTGTGACCTGAGGTCAGGCCAGACTCGTGACCTTTACATTGCAAGCCTATGGGAAAATATTGAAACGCCTCCTGCTTCGTGGAAACGAGCCAAAACCACCCAATTCTTTCAGTATTATGGAAGATTATCTCATCGGTGATGATCCTGGTGCCGCTAATTGACAGGGGCACCGGCAAAGGTCATCTGAGGTCATGTGACGTCATAAATCGTTTTTCTGTCAATAAATCACGACATGATGGTGCTTAAGACTTGTAAGTGGTGCCAAACTGCTCGCCTGGTAAAGGCGCGTCGTTTGGTATGCAGCATGACCATACCCCACAACCTCATTGATGAATGACCTGACCTTGACCTCAGGTCAAATTTCAAATTGACCTGTGAAGGTAATCACATACCTACTTATTTCGCATCGCCTCGGCGAGAGCAACAAAAAATGTATTGGTTTTATGTCTCTATGTTTCTTAGTTTAAAAGTTATATTGGTTTGGTTACTAATTCCAAAACATTTTATCGTTGATGACCTCTGGTGACCTCAATAGTCAATATTGACCTGACCTGAAAATGTTTTATGTAAAAGTTGTAGATCTTTAAACGACCTATCAAACACCGTTTGCCGTTTGTCGCTGCGATGTGTAGTTTTTTAGATCTGAAGGGGGCCGAATCTCCCCCCCCCCCCGCCAGTTTCTTGTCCCGGCGGAGCCCGCCAGGAATAGGGTTAACGAGATTAGCTACTGCTGCTTCACTAAACACAAATTTGTTAGCATAGGCGGCGGAACGGGTAGGGCACCGGAGCACCGTGCCCCCCCCCCCCCCCCTCCCTTTGATTTACTCATTTTAACCCGGCAAGCGGTGGGCCTCCCGGCCACCTTGCGCGCGGTGAGGGGGGCATTTTTTTGCCCCCCCCCTCCCCCGTATCTCCGAAACTACTGGACGGATCCGGAAAATTCAAACGGCGTTCGAAAGTCCTGTCAAATTTGTCGAAGTAAACCAAAATTCATTGACCTCGGGGTCACCGATGACGTCACAGGTCATGTCAAAGATAAAATGTTTCACCGTTCATGGGTCTTCTAGGG